TGTATTAGCGTCTCTGCACTGGCTCCTGTAAAATAAGTGCTGTTGAATTTAACACCTTCAAAAAGACACTTTAGTAAGTAAACTTTATTTATTTATTATATATATATATATATATATATATATATAGCACCCTTCACAGACAAGAAGGGTCACAAAGTGCTTCACAGTAAAAAATAGAATAAAATAAATAATAAGCTTGTCTAAAAAGATGTGTCTTAAGGTGTTTTTAAAAAGGTTTCCACAGAATCCAAGGCTCTCACGGCTAAAGGGAGAGCGTTCCAGAGCCTTGGAGCCACCTCACAGAAAGCACGATCACCTCTTGTTTTATAACTTGTTCTGGGGACAGTTAAAAGGGCCTGGCCAGAAGACCTCATAGAGCAACCAGAAATGTGTGCATGCAACAGATCCTGGATGTAAGAGGGAGCTTGACCATGCAAGGCTCTGTAAGTAATGGTTAAAATTTTAAAATGTACTCTAAAACCAATCGGAAGCCAATGAAGAGCCTTAAGCACAGGAGTAATGTGTGATCTCCTGTTGGTTTTCGACAAAAGTCTTGTAGCTGCATTCTGTACAACTTGCAGTCGGTCTATGGAGGATTTGTTTAGACAAGTGTACAGTACATTGCAGGGCATTGCAGGGCAAAAATCACCATCTCAGTTTTGTCTGTATTTAGTTGCAAAAAGTTGTCCGCCATCCATTTGTTAATGGAGGCTAAGCAATTGTGCAACACGGACAGTTTGTCTAGGCTATGAGGACTAAAAGATAAATATAATTGGATGTCATCAGCATAACAATGATAAGATATGTCTTCAAAGCTACCAATAATCTTTCCAAGAGGAAGCATATACAGACTGAACAGCAGGGGAACGAGCACAGAACCTTGGAGCCCACCACAGGACAAAGGAGCAGAGTCTGACATATATGTTCCTATGGACACAGAGAAACTCCTGTCAGAGAGATAGGAGGAAACCCAGTCCAGAGCTGATCCAGTAATGCCCACAGTTGTTTTCAGTCTATCAGAGTTCATCAGAGATCTAATAGGACCAGCACAGAACATTTACCCCCATCAGCAGCCATCAAAATATCATTTGATACCCTAAGGAGGGCAGTCTCAGTTGAATGGTTTTTTACGAAAACCAGACTGAAATTTATCAAAGATATTATGGGAATCCAAAACATTATGTAGCTGGTTCGCAACAACCTTTTCTAGAATTTTCGAAGAGATGAGTTTAAAATTGAAACCAAACATGGGCCAAGTAGATGTATGGATTTTAAAAGCAAAGATGTGGGTAAAATATCGACAGGGCTTTGTGAAGGTTTCATGGTGCCCTCTAACTTAATGATGTCATTCAGGGTAATGGTGCAGAAGGAGTCCAGTATTGAAAGTCTGTGATGTTTAAGTATATGTGGGTTTGCTGATGGAACAATGCCTGCCCTGACAGCTCTAACCTTGTCCACAAAGTGAGACAAAAAGTGGCTGCAGTCAACATTTGAAAACACAGGGATAATACACGCAGCAGGAGAAACAATGTTGTTAATGGTCTCAAACAGAGCTTCAGGGGTTTTTTGACAGGCAGATTTCAGGTTAGTAAAGTAAGAGGATCTAGCATCCTTGATCATTCCGTTTAAGTCTATTGAGAGCTCTTTAAGATGCAGGCGTTGGACTTGGAGCTGAGTCGCTTTCCATAAACGCTCAGTTCTCTGACAGACACGCCTCAAGCTGCGAATGGCGTCATTCATCCACGGGGATGTTTTAACAGAAGGAATTTCTCTAGTGTTAAGAGGCGCCACTTTGTCCAACAGCAGGGCGCAGTGATCATTAAACGCCTGTGCACAAGCGTCCGCGTCATTCGAAATAAGAACCGAGCTTGCGTCAAATGCGGCTGAAAATTTCTCAACAGTAAGCTGGTTAATCAAACGTGAGCAGGACGCTCATTTAGCAGGCAGAGGAACCTCATCACAAACAAGATCAAATAAGATGCATTTGTGATCACTAACTACAGCTTCGATGCACACATTATTAATGTTTAAACCGTGAGAAAGAACAAGATCGAGCGTATGTCCCAGAGACATGCTGAGTGAAGTTAAAAGATTCAGTAATATTTACAAATTCAGAAGCATTTTTGCAAGTCATATCATCCACATGGATATTAAAATTAAAATGCGTAGGACCAGAGACATGCTGAGTGAAGTTAAAAGATTCAGTAATATTTACAAATTCAGAAGCATCCACATGGATATTAAAATCGCCAACAATGCTCACTCTGTCCAGCTTAATAATGGATGATAAGAAGTCAGAAAAATCAGTAAGAAAAGAGGCGGCTGGCCCAGGTGGCCGGTAGACTAAAATACAATAAAATGTATTTGAACAACCAACCTTAGTCATCTGTAGTTCAAAAGAAGAGTACGTGCCAGCGCTCACTGACTGGCAGATAAAATGTTTTTTAAAAACCACAGCAAGACCTCCACCACGGCCTGTGAGTCTCGGCGTGCTGATAAAATTGCAGTCCACAGGACAGAGCTCATTCAACTGATAGTATTCCATATCCTTCTGCCAAGTCTCTGTGAGCAACAAGAAGTCCATGTTCTTGAAGGTAAATAAATCACTGAGCAAAAGAGACTTGTTTGCAATTGAACAGGCATTTATCAGACCCATCCTGAGCGGTGCAGGAACACCTGAAGCAGAGAAAGAGGCTCGCGGCGGCGACCTTAGATGCACGGAACACACACCGCGGCCAGTGGTAGGGTTTCTCCAGGGCACGGGACCAGAGTCCTGGGGACGTCAGGGAAGACAGAACGAAGACATGAAGGTCTGGAGTCGCAGTCAAAGACCCCCAGATTCAAGAGTTTTTTCAGATGAACCTGCCTCCCTGCCCTTTTTCCTCGCTTTCTCTGCCGTCTATTTGTAGGTCGTATTAGGCTCTCTCCCTGCCGCATGCAGACAGCAGTTGCAGTCGGACAAACGAACGGGGCTGCAAACTCACCTGTACCACTCCAGGTACATCTGTCACCGCACTCCGCCATGGAGGATCGGATCAACAGCAGTGTTTGGTGATCATACACCCATGCAGTAGACACAACGTTTGTTGACAAACTTAGTAGCAATATAGCGCAGGAAACAAACAAAACGAGTAGAGACGAACAAACAGCCGCAGCGGCGAAGCCAAACACAGGCGCCATACCGGAACCGGAAGTGAGGTGAGCTAGAATGTGACACACCCTGTTAGTCCCGCTAAAATGCACATCCGAGTATACACCTGAAGCCTTAAAATGATGGTCTCTTCAGAGGGGTGTGGTTAACCACAACCTACTTAAAGGTTCAGTGTGTAAGATTTAGTGTCATCTAGTGGTGAGGGTTGTAAATTGCAACCATCTGTCCAGTCTACCACTGCCCCCTAACCTTTCAAAGAGCGCAGAACAGCACAATCCATCATAAACCACACATTTGAAAAAGTTTTTATACAAACATTGACAAGGGAAACACATGATTATGGACCCTCACCAAAACTGCCAACAAACATATTTGCAGACCCCTGCAGTATATTATTACTACTTCTTCTTCTTCTTCTAACGTACATATTCAACACAGTGATGAGTGTCTGCGCTGCCTGAATTCTACCAGAAGTAGAACAAGAAGAACGTAGTGACGAAACGCGCTCTGTAGCGCTGTTTGTCCGTTTACTCCTACTTTCAAGTATAAAAGCAAGTTATTTAATTTCTCAAAGCTGAGAATCACTCTCACTCTCCCAGTTATTTCAGACAGAGGTCTCCAAGTGGTCAGGAGCTGCCAGCAGGGCTTGTGATGGTGCTGTGGAGACTGGAATCATGCACAAATATTTCAGGAGAGGAAAAATGTTTCTGAATTATTTGACGACTCGCAGTTAATAAGACGAGTCGGACAGCACAGGCATAAACTTTTTTTCACCATTCAGTGTGAATTTATCTGAGAATATTCTTAAATAAGGAAATCTCTTCAGTGATTGGTCCTTGGCTACATCGTCATCCAAAATCCTATTTGCGGCTCAGCAAAGTGTCGTGAATCAGCTCTCAGACCGACACTTAAGATTTAGTCCTACACTTCACTCAAATTAGGACTGAGATGATTGATAACTTTTCAGCGCAGCTTTGAGCCAAGAATTATTTTCCTCTTAAGTCAGTTCTTAGCAGAGTTCCTGTGAGTCATTCTGAGAAGCTTGATAAATGCAGGCTCTGGTATCTTGAAGATTCAGCAGATGTCTGTGACTATTTTAATGAAAAGCCAATCAGTATATTTCTCTCTATGTTGGACTCACACAGCAAACAAGCGTATATATTTGGAAATGTGTTTTTTTTAATAACATTACAACCTTTGATGTACAAATGATTCTTTAGTTCTGCTTTTGCACATTTCAGAACGTCCTGACTTTCTCTGCTTTAAACTCAACTTACTGGAAGAAACCGGCTTATTCGATGTCTGTTTACCAGCTTGGTTTTTTCTATAACGCTTTCTGTTTCAAAACCGGTAAGATAAACTGAGCAACACGTGGAGGTCAAGCTGAAAAACAGTTTCCGTTCCTGAAAAGCTTCACCTTGACAGCAGCATTATTTTCATTTTATTTTATTACGGTTTTAATATTTCTCTCTGTGTACATGAAATGCCACTGATGTTTGACTTTCTCTTGTCTTATCTTTGTATAATACATATTTAAATACATCTAAAGGGAAATTCTGTGTGTACCAGCTGGAACACACAGCTCACAGTTTCCACCCATACAGTTTATTCGACATGTTTAAACTGTCACCATCTTATCTAACAACGCCGCTCTTTACATTCTGTTTCATTGCTTCAGTGTTTGAACAACTTATTTCATAGTCACTGAGTGATATTATTTTTTTCCCCCCTTAAGAGAATCCTTAAACTTTTCCTTCTCCTCGTTTTTCATGCAGAGATCAATAAAGTTGTGTTTTATCTATACATCTGGTGACATAACAGATACTGTAAGTACATTATTTTTCTGCAGATTGGGGCGGAGAGCTGGACTTCTCCACCTTCCTGAGCGTAATGCACCGGCAGCTCCAGCAGGAGGCGCCGGAGGAGGAGATCCTGGAGGCCATGAGGATGGCTGACAAGGAACAGAAAGGCTTCATCCTCGCCTCGGAGCTGCGATCCAAACTCACCGGGCTGGGAGAGAAGCTGACAGATCGAGAGGGTGAGAAGCATTTACAGACACCTAAACAAATACATTTCATTTAGAATAATATCACAAGGTTTACATGTCTGATCCTCTGAGTTCCTGTCAGTTTTTAATCCCCCAGTGTTTAGTTGTTTTGCTGTTTACTTTGAACTGTTGTTCCCAAACCTATTGTCTTTGTTCTATTATTCTGCCCCCCCGTTCCTTCATTTTAATCCTGTTACGTGTCGCCCCCAGGACATCAACAAAAACTTAAGAGGTTTTGCATCCAAGTCTGGTTCCAAGTGGGGGATTTTAATTTCTGCAGATAATTTGAAAAAGGAGCCGTAGAAAAGAAGAAAATAAGTAAACCATTAACATTTTACGAGATTGTGTTTAAAGTGATCTACTGGTTTTAGTTTCAGTCTACTCAAATGGGATTTAGTTGCACAAAAACACATTGCAGAAAATCTCAACATTAAGTGTCTGTGTGATGAAACAATAAGACAGATCCTCTAAAGGGACCGTCTGATTTCCTATAACAGCGCTGTAAACCCACACAGGTGTTTTCACTTATTCTGGCTGATTAGACCTCTGCTTGGAGCAAAGCTGCAAATACATGAGGTCACCAAACTTCACAAATCAATAACAGTGATAAGGGTGTAGCTGTTGGCACCCAGACAGGTGCAACAAAACAAACAGAGGCCTTTAAATGATGCCGGGCGGCTGCTGTCTGTTGTGCTTTGAAACATGTATAGATTTCCATTTAACAATGTCAATAAGCAATTTCTTTATGTCCTATCTTGTTTTTTATGTCTCAATGTTTTTCCAGTTGTTTATTTTGTTGTTGTCTGTTTTATATCTCATCACTTAATAAAAAAAAAGATTTTCATTTAACAAGAAGAAACATTTGTCAGCCACCGAAAGTTATCGCTGCATCGTCTGTCAACAATATCTCTCATTTATAATGACGTGAACAATGTTTAACAGTTGGAAAATGGAAATTACAGCAACTGTTATGACATGAAGAGGGAAGAAGTCTCTTTACATATGGCCTCGCCGTGAACTCCAATAAGTGATCAAAGTTGCCCACACAGCCCATTCTCATAGGGCGTAATGCACGTGGCAGCCTTTTACGGCATAGTTGGGTGTTTGTTTCTCATACGAAATAAAAAATCAACATTGATTCTTTTTATTTATGTTACGTAACTTATAAGAAATGTTATTTTTTAGTTATGTAATTTAAGTCATAATGTAAGTAGTGTAATGTAGTTATTTTAACAGTGTGGAAGATTTAGTGTCATCTAGTGGTGAGGGTTGTGAATTGCAACCATCTGTCCAGTCTACCACTGCCCCCTAACCTTTCAAAGAGCGCAGGACAGCTACGGTGGCTGACACAGCACAAAAGGTGTCTCTTTAGTTCGTAGTCCATTATAAACCACACATTAGATAAACTTTAGACAAACACTGGCAAGGGAAACACGTTCATTCTCTCTGTGATTATGGACCGTCGCCAAAACTGCCCGCCATATATAATATCTGGCCCACTGCCAGATTATGGTGCTTTGATAGCAACAAAAAATATTAATGAATAAATACTTTGATAGCGGTGCTGAAATAGATCTCAGTCATGGCAGCAAAAGTTACACACATAATCACTTCCTCTTTAGTGGTTTTGCCTACAAAATAAAAGCACAAGAAGCTTTGTTTACTGTAATTTATTTGCAGTTGAACTGAGCTTTTACTTTGAAAAATTCTGAATGACATTAAAAGAGTCTGTAGCTGCTTGGCACACCTCTGAAAGAGCCGTGAGAGAACGTGATTCCCCTAAATATCCTCTGCCTGGAGATACTGGGGAAATGAAAAAGCATCTGTAGATTGATGGATGAGGATCAAACACCGAAATAAAAACAGTGCAGCACATGGCGTAATGTGAGCCTGAAAAACAGTTCCTGCAGAATCCATTTGTTGAAGAGAGAAACAAAATGGTCCCAAGGTGGGATCGAACATATAACCCTCAATCTTTTCCTAAACTTATGCAAAAGCTGAACTAAAGGATCCCAGGGTGTTAAAAAGCCACGCCAAGGGGTCTTGACCAAGTGTCCAATTGTGACGACCTGGAATAAGAATGTGTTGAGACATGCTTCACCGAAAACCACAATTTAATGCATAAAACATCTCCTACGTAGAAAATTTGAGTTGATAATAAGTTCATATATTACATTAACATACAGGTTCATTAAACAAACTTTGATCGGCCTTTCACTCTGGTTTCAGTGGACGAGCTGCTGAAGGAGGCGGGTGTTGGAGCTGACGGGCGGGTCCACTGCGAGCAGTTTGCTAAGGCGGTGACACGCTCCTGTGCAAAGCGCTGACATCACAGTCAACATCCCCGCTGCAGTGGAGACACTGAGCTGCTCCAGGCGAACCTCTGTTCAACCAGCAGCTGTTCCTCAGTGCAATCTCTCATTTAGCATTTCTTCATAATTAGCATCAGTCATCCTGAAAAATAAAGCCTGTTCCTGGAGTTTCCTTTTCATATTCTCAGACAAATTACCTTTTAAAAACAACCAAAAACAGAAGAATGGATTAACTTGTCTGTGTTTGTTTTTAAGCTGCAGAAGTTAGAATACTTCCAACTAGCTTACCACCTACAGTAGTTACGTAGCGTTGCTTCCAAGGCCAAGGAGCGTATCATTAGCTAACGTAACTTATTGTTTAGTGAAATAACAGGTAAAACAGTAGAAAATTCCCCATTCAGGACACAGACATCTTGGATGCCATTACATCAGAGTTTAGGCTAACATTAGCAGGTATTTCCTGATGACACTGATTAGTCCTCATTATCAGAGCCTTTTGTCTCGTAAATGTGAAAAATGTTGTATGAATAAACGAACATACATCGAACCTCTGCGTTGCTTGTCCAAGTTTCTGTATACCTTTTGCCTGGAACACATTAGCTTTAGCGTCTTAGCATGATATCCTGTATGTTGCCATTAAGACAGCGAGTTGGAGCTTTGCAAGGGGAGAATTTAAATTCAATATTTTAATGTATTCATAGTTCAGTTCGGTGACCTGGAGGGCAAAACAGCAGACCAACATAGACGCCGCAAAAGCAGTCAGATTTTATTTGGATCACCTTTCAACTTAAGAAAAAGAAAGATATGAACACAACACAAGTGTTGGATCCGTATAAGGTTACAGAATCCGCTGCCGCATATCTACCATTAAAAACCGCCAGGTTCCTGCCGCCGCTCAACTGCAGTAATGTTTACTTTTACCTTCTGGGTAATCCCTCACCTAACACAGCCCGGGCTTTTCTCCTCCTCGATTAGTGCGTCTGAAAGCACAACAACCATCCAGCATTTTGGCAACGCAAATGTAACAAACTCAAAGTAACAGTGCATCACTTGCTGAACATCTTTTTCCAAGGGAGCGTTTTCCTCGGAATGTGACGTCACGTGAAAAGTATGAATTGGTGCATGTTTCATATCGGTCAGACTCACATTACAGGAGATACTTTCCCATCCTCAGGCATAATGTTGTTTTTAAGGCCCAGTCGCACACAAAAGGGTTTTTCTCCTTCATTTGAAAAAAGAATCTCTGTCTATATGAAAAAACACAATTGAAGTGCTGTCAACAACCCAACCAACAGGCAGCGATATAACGCTTACATTAATAACATGTTAGCCAATCAGAAGCCTGACAAAATATTTCTGGTAGGCTGCCAGCAACGGCAGGAAGGGGGCATCAAATATGTGGACTGACAGCAGAGTGGAGTTATTTCTCATTATCACACTTAAATATAAAGTTAGCAAAACAAATATGTTAGAACGAGCAGTGTTGGGTCACGTCCGCACAAAATGTCACCCCATGTAAACAAAGGAGACGACGGTGCGCACTCTGACGTCACGAGGCATCGACACTGCATCAAGAGTTTCTGCAAATCTTCACCCTGGCAAGAGTTTTCAGAAAGGTTTGTTTTCAGTGACCTTAAAAGCAGTTGACGTGTGGACAAAAGGCTAAGTTTTCTGAAATATCCATGTATGTTCAACATCTCTGCAAATCAGGAACCTGGCACTTTGCAAACATCTTCTGTATGATATGCTGTGCAAACACAGCTTGGAACATTTCATGAAGGGGAAGATTATTTCACTGTAAACCATCCTGTCATTTCCTGTTAGTAGAGCTCCATGCGTGGAAACTACATCAACTCGGTTTTGACTTTGCTGTAGTGAGGATACAAAGCACTGGAACCTTGCTCTAGAAATGCACAGTGACATCTCTTCTGGTCTTATGTAATCGCTCAAGGAGAGCATGGATTTAGGAATAAACTGCTCTGTCAGAGTCCTCTGGTTTAAACCTGCTCCTGAGGGACATTTGGACGACTTCAATCTCTCTTTGAGCCTTCAGGGGCAGCTTGTTCTGCATCTCGCTGTGGAGTGTTCATTATTACTCACAATAAATTACATACTTCTCAGGATCCAGCTGAATAACTTTCACCGCTAATAGTCACCTCCAGGCTTTACCAGCTGGTTGCCTGTGACTCGTTAATGCTGATTATCAGGCACTTCACCATAAACAGAGTTCACCCAGGCGTTCCACTCAGCCAGACTTTTCACTGCATTGGTCTTCACAGTCAGCCTCGCTAACCTTGTCTCTTACTGAAGTCACTGGAGGGAATCCTTTTGGAAAATTACATGGATTTATTCACAGAGTCAAATAAATATTACTAAAACAGATTCTGAGTTAAGTTAATAATCCAAAACTGTTTCACACAAATACCAGTTTTTCTGCTAATTATGATAATCTGGTCTTAATATCCAAGTAGGGTTGGAGTCAATGAAAGTTCGCTCAACTTCGCTTTGAAAGCTGAACTTTTTTCATCTCCTCTTTGGCTGAAAAGACAGAAACAGTTTAGAGTTGACAACCATTAGCACCAACCTGAAAATGAGATTAAGATATGAAATGTTAATTAAATGTATCTGACAAACTGAAATAACAGGTATACTTAGATTACTCTGTGTTATTCATAAACTCAAATATCTTAATTCAGCTAAATTGATGAGTTTAAGATTTGAGTCTCCTAATATTTATGTGATTCGAGGGGCCAGATTTATTTCCTGTGTGTGTGTGCGTGTAGAAATTCACGTGAACTTTCACATGAACACCTTTAACCTTCCCAAAATTTCTATTGGCTGTCTGTACAAATTGTTGAACATAAATTAAAAACCAGGGCTGGGTACGTTAACACGTTAATTAATTAACACCAACAACTATTATTATATCACATGTTATTGCAGTTATTGTACCGTGGGTCACAGGAGGGGCGGGATGTTGATCAGCCTGCAAATCACCACCCAAACAAGCAGCGGAGGCTTCGGCAGACCACGCTGGATGCAGCGTGCGGGGGAAGTAAGACAGTAAACACCAGGCGCTCTGTTGCAGCCTATTTAACTTCAGTTAAAATTACAGGCTACATAACTTCACCTGAGAGGCCTTCATCTGGTTTTGCGGGGACGCTCTGCCGTGTGAATTCCCTCCTGCTGATGTCCTGTTTAGTTAAACAGTAATAGATTCTGGAAACTCAAACAGCGAGGATCAGTCTCTCTGCCAATGATCTGTGCTGCTCGTGTACTTCACACTTGCTGCTGAACACAGACTGTTTCTGCTGCTCCCTGTTCAGAAAAAAACCCAAGAACACGGGACTCTGATGGCAACTTGTTTTAACGAGTTAGATAAAAGGTAACACCCTGGCAGCGGCAAACAGCTTTGGTTTAATATTTGATTACATTAATGTTTAAGTTGAGATTTACAAGAAATATTTTATTGCTGCTGTGTAAAGGGAATACTGCAGGTAAAAAGCTCCTTATTTGTTACATTTAAATTAAAAGTACACAATACACTACTTTAGAATTCATTATTCAATTTTGTGCATAACAATAATTAATCACGATTAAGAAATGTAAATGTTGCCCATCACTAAATTAAATTAAATCAAGCAATTTAAAAAGTTAAAAGAAACAGTATTCTACGACATTGATACGGTTAAAATGGATATATAGGACAAGATAGAAAAGAAACTATGCATAAAAATGAATAAAAATGCTGTTTTGTTGTATTTAAGTATGTCTTGAAGTGATTTAATCAGGCACGGTGTTCCAGAGCTGAGGAGCTCTAAGTGTAAAAGCCGGGTCACCTTCAGTCTTGAGCCGGGACTTAGAAACAGCTATCAGAGCCCTGCTGCCTGAGGATCTGAGGCTGCACTCTGGCTCACAGGGGAGCAGCAATTCAGCAATGTAGCTGGGAGCAGAACCAGGAAGTGCTTTAAAAGTGATGTGAAGCGAGGCTAAAACAGGACTGAATGCAATGAATTACAGTAATCCAACCGAGTCGAAATAAAAGCTCAGATGACCTTCACAAGAACAGGCCGAGAGAGAAAATACCTGATTTTTTAGATGTTTCTTTACTGGAGTTTTTTTATCGAAGGGATGGACAGTAGCCACATTGGGAACAGGCTAACCTGCAAAATAATCACTTATGCACCAAAATGCCGGGTGAGGCCGGTGTGGATCCATCCTCTGGTTCATAACCTTACAGGACGTCATTGAGAAAGCTGTCCAACAGTAAAACAGCACACACGTTTAAGACTTTTCCAGGTGTTGTGGGGACATTTACATTAACAGTTAATCCACTGGGTCTTTACTTCCTTGGATGGTGGGAGAAGATGAAGACTTCTGTGTGGTTCCAACAGAAAGTGTTTGTTTCCTGTGTGAACTCAATTTTAACTCAAGTGAAGCTATATCCACCATACTTAAATTTACGTTTACACTTACTCATTTAGCTGACGCTTTTATCCAAAGCGACTTACAATTGCTATTTATGTCATAGGTCGCACGCCTCTGGAGCAACGAGGGATTAAGTGTCTTGCTCAGGGACACATTTATGGATGTGTCAAAGTGGGGAATTGAACCCGGGTTTCTCACACCGAATAAGGTAACCAACCTACTTACTTTTGTTGCCTAAACCCAACCAGACTGCTTCATAACGTTAACCAAATGTTTTATTTTTTATTTGAAGTCCAACCGGACGTTGCTAACTTGAGCTGATGTAGCATATTTATTGTTATTTTGACCATGGATTCCTGCACATCCACAAATTTTGCTAAAGCCGGACTCAACAAAAACAACAGTAGTAGCCTAGTTAACGCAATAGTGTAAATGTAGCACGAGGTTATATCCACAATACTAAGTTTTAAAACGAATACGATCTCCGTCCTCACCAGTGCTTTAGCTGCGTATCATAGTTGATCTCCGTCTATACTGAAACAACTGGGAGTTGTCACAAAGTAAATACCAATCCATGTGTAAAAATGTTATTTACACAGTACAGAATATTTTAATAAAAACACCAAAACTTAAACTCTGTCAGCAGCATCGTGTTTCTGCTAAGAGCCAATCAGGGAGCCAAACGTGAGCGTCTGCGTCATCGTTTTTAAAGTCCTCCGTTTTCACCAGTTCGCACTAAAACGCTACCCCGGAGTTTTAAGACAGAGCTCAAAGTTTTAGATAGAAGTAGACAAAAAGGAGACATCTCCATTTGAGTTAGCCATTGCCGATTTTGACGGCTAAAGACAACAGATTAGCTGTAACTACCTAGATAATTAACATTGACTTAACTTCACTTTCCTTTAATTGTCAAATGACCAGTGTCAGTGCAAAGTGTGTTCTGCACAACATGGAAAAAAAGCCATTTTGACGCTGCAAGTTGGAAAGGCCATGAAATGGACACGATCCTCCAAACCAAGAAATGCACTCCTCCAAATATTTATTCATCTGTGCGCACGGATTGTTAAACCAAACACACGCTCCATATATAGAAATTCAATATCTGTGGGTTTACGGCTGATTC